CCAGACGGTGTAGCCCTGTCACAGCATCCCACCATTCTGTGATCCTATCAGACAGAGGGTGCAGGAATGCATTAACCACACTATCTATAAGACACCAGCTATTTTTTCATGTAACTTCTGTGGAACTTGTGATTGAATATTGAGCTCCATTCTATAGTGGGTCAATTTGTTGTCACTGGAAAACAAGTCATTCTTCAAATAATTGGCTCACAGGATCCCTGAGACAAATCCCCATCAGTATTTTGTATTTTATTTAAAGAAACAGTTTCACTGATTTGCTTAGCATTTCTCCCTTGCTGAAGCTGACATTGAACTCATGATCCTTCTGCATCAGCCTTCCAAGACCCTGGGATTACAGAAGTGCACCACTGCACTCAGTTCTGTTCACATTTTTAATGCCAGCATTTCCTCTTTGCCTTATCAACTATTTTTAATGCTATATTTCAAATGGATGTATTATTTCTAATTTTTCTCCAAGAACTGCATGGCAGTTTATAGATTTTGCTTTCTCTTTGTGAGCACTTAACATGAGAAAAAAGCAGACACAATGAGTTTCTTAGAAATGATATAAAGGAGGAAAAAGGTGACACCTTGAAGAGAGAAAATGTGTCCACTCTGTAAAGAGAAAAGTATGGCTCTTTTGCTCTCCAGTTTTAGTAGATATCTAAAAAAAGATTCTACAGAGTCCTCTGTAGGTACACTTCTTGACTTCGGAATCACAGCAGGATAATATCAAACTCTCAAGTATCCACTGTCATGACAACTTTAGGTTAATTAGCCTCATGTTCACAATTTCTAATTGAATTGTTAATCATAAACTCTTGCAGATTTTATGCTTAGTAGGAATTATCTTTATTTTCCTGACTTCCAGAATCTGGTCTTTAACAGAGTCACAAAAGTCCCCCCTTCAGTGCAACTTGTGTTTCTCTTACAAACATTATTTTGAAACTGCATTTCTCCTGCATATAATAGTTTATTAAAGAATGTGACACATTCTGTTCAGTTAATCCAGAAAGGGTGCAAGTAAATTGCATCTTGGAAAATAAAACATAGGGTCAATGTGTTGGGCTTATTTATTTATTTATTTATTTATTTATTTATTGTACTGTATGTTGAAATCAGAGCTAGTTAACCACTGAGATACATCACCAGCTCCTTTTTTATATTTTATTTAGAGACAATATCTCATTGAATTGCTTAGTGCCTCACTGATAACTTGCTGAGACTGGTTCTAAATTCATGATTCCCCTGCTTCACCCTTCCAAGCTGCTGGGAATACAGGTAGGTTGCACCATGCCCAACCTATCATTTACCTTAAAGATACTTCAGTTCTTTTACCAGATTATGTGAAAAATACTACAATGAAAATATAATTGTACTGTTTTCTATGATGTAGTTACTCCAATTTTTTTTAGATACATACCCAGAATTACTGCTACTGAATCATGTGACATTTTTATTTCAACTTACTGAAGAACCTTAATATCATTTTCAAAAATAGCTTTATTCAATGTATATTCCCACCAGCATTTTCACAACTGAGTCTTTATATCCATGCATATATGTTCTGGGGTACCTACTATCTTTCAGATTTTTATTTTTTATTATTTATTTATTTATTGCAAAAAAAGTCTTTATTGCAATAAGTTAATCCTGTAAATATGCCTGAAAAAGTACATATCAGTTGGTCAGAGCAATAAGAGCCTCCACCACGTTTCCCATGTGTTCCAGCAAGCTCCTCTCTGCTGCTGCTCGAGAAATCTCCATCTCTGTCATTATCAACTCCAGATCTTCTTTCTTGATAGTGACCTTTGCCAGTTCCTTCTCCCGTTCTTGTTTGGCTTTCTGCTCCCGAGACCTTCTATCTCCGATCACGGACATAGCC